CACATACACACATACACACACATACACACATACACACACACAAAGAAATAATGTTCTATAAGGGGCAAAAGTTTTACAACAACGTTAAAATTGAAATCGCTACACGGAATTGCTAACAGAAATAAAAAATGCTTCTCTTTTCCTTTCTCTTCCTTTCTTTCCCTTCTTTTTTCTCTTATCAATAACAAATCAGTATTATTTTGTCGGTAATCACTGCTTTATCATAAAAACATAAGGATGGCTAAAATGAATAATGAATACGATGATTGGTTTTTATGATCCGTTTTACAGATATGTTACAACAATATGTTTAATATGCCATATGCATACATCATCAATCTTTAGGCATTAACATTTTCATTTTCAGTTTTCTAATTTTAGTAAACAAATACGGATAAGCTGAAATGATAAAATTGTTGGAATAAATAAATCAAATAAATAGAATAAAATAAGCAAGAGGAAACAAATTCAAACAAACATCTGTGAGAATTTAAATCAATAAAAAAATGATTTATATGGCACAATAACATTTTTTTATTAAATAAAATGAACAAGTTGAAACAATGAAAATGTGCAAAAATAAATAAATAAGCAAGCAAATAAATAGAAGAAAAAAACAAATAAATATTAGTGAAATTGATTTAAATCAATGAATCAAATACATAAATATCATTTGAAATGTGACTTTTTTTGTTTTATTAACGCATTAGAAAAAAACGTTTTATATCGCTGATATGAATCATTAAACTATTTGTGCTAATTGAAATGAAAAAAAAAGAAGGAAAAAGTTGCAAAAATTTGTGAATCATATTCAGTCAAAAAAGGTAAAAAAAAAAAGGAAAAATGCATTTAAATTTCCACATCGGTCAAATACATACAAATATTGCAGTCGTTATTGTTGGAGGAAATTATGATAAGAGTAAATAAGAGCTACAGAGTAAATAAGAGCTACAACAATAACAATAAAAATAACTGTAATGATGAAATATAACGTCATTTTAGTAATATTTAAACGTTTAATATGATTGGACTAATAAAAACTGTAAATGATAAAAAAATGCCGAAACTATAACAGAGCTGAATGACGCTAAAACAGTGACGGAAGTGAATGACGTTGAAGCAATAGCAGAAGAAGAAAGATGATAAACACGGATTCTACAACGTGAGAAGGAACCATCCAATCGGTCCAACAATTTGCGACACGTCCGAGAGTTTTTTGTTCTTCATCGACACAGTCCATTATAACGATGGAATGTGAGGGAGAGGGGATTGATGCGGGGATGAAGGAGAGAGGAGATTTGCTTGATGAGAAAGGATTGTTTGTTGAAGGAAGGGAAGCGTTTGAGGAAGAATAAAATATTTTCGTTCTTATAGTTAGCCATATGGAAGGAAGCCAATTCATTTCATTTCACAAAATTAACGAACATATTTCGCATGCAACAAAGGTAAATTACTTCAAAATAGAGAAAGAAAAGATTTCACTTTGAATTCAGCTAAATTATTGTAAAAAAAGAAAAGAAAAGGCTGAATTAAATATTGGTAAGCTTGGATATAAGTTTTTAAAATTTATTGAAAATTTAATTTTCTCTTGAACATTTTAAACTAAACTAAAGCTTTGGCATAAAAAAGATTCTAAATTAGGGCCAAATTAAATTTCTCATCACATTACAATCATATAATGTTTAGTAAATTTAAGCAATTTTGCAATATGCAATGTTACGCTTTAAATTTATTCAATAAACGTATAACATCAACCATCGCAATCTGTCAATATTTTAATTCATCCAAACATCATTAGACACTTGATAGTTTCATTTAATCAAATTTTATTTCACTATACGATCAATTAGTAACTGAAAAAATAAAATTTTAGTCGACAATGAGATAAATTTGGATAAAATGAATATTATCGTTTGACGAATAAACAAAATGAATGGAAGTGATATTGGAATTAGAATCTATTAGCATACAAAAACAAACAAATTGCTAAATTTAATAAATGAACAAATAAGTGAAATGTATTCTTTTTCTATCCCCCTAATAAATCAACAGAAACAACAAAATCATCGAAAAAAATTCGTGTAAAAACTATAAAACAATAATTTATTTATAAAATTTCAGTTTTGTTTTTTCATGCTTTGAATACAAAAACAAACAGATTGATTGATTGCGAAATTTAATAGAAAAGAGGAAAAAGTTTTTTTTTTTTAAAAAAAACATGGTCAGAGAAATTTTTGAATATATTCGAATTTGAGAAATAGTTTAAATTAAATAATTGTTAATGAAAATATTGCTGTTTTCTTCTTTCATTTATAAATGTGTCCATTTTCTTTCTGCATGTTTTTTCTTATTAAGTATTCCATTTCATGTATTGTTTAGTTTTGCACCCATCAATTAATGCAATTAAACAGTCATCAATTAATGCTCAATGATATTAACTACTTTTTGTTGGCATTATTATTATTTGAATGCTTGCATGAAATAACATTAATTGGTCATGCAGTAATTAAGTACCGAAAAAGAAAAACAAACGACTAATAAAGAATTATTAATCACTATTAATTAATGTTTTCCTACCAAAGAAAGTACACGAAAAGGATAAAAATAAACATAAAACTACAAATATTTATCTTTAGGTAATTTAAATGAATTGTCTTTTTTTTTTTGATTTTGTTTCAATCCAATTGCACCAATATATTTGTGTAATGAAATATCATTAGTTTCAATTATTTAAATTATCTATCCAATGTTCTGTAGAAATTATGATAATTTTCCCTTATATAAATTTTACGACGAAAAAGCGAAACAGATATTCATTTATTAATTAACATATTGTTGATGAAAAATGTGAATTGATTCAGTCTGAAATCAAAAATGATAACATTATTGAAAGTATCAGTTAAAAAGGAAAAGAAAATGGAAAAAGTAGGAAACAATCTGTTGTAAATACAATTTAAATCCGCAACAATAAGAATGTTATCAGTTTCATTGTTAGTAAGCATCATTTCATCGTTTAGTCCTATCAATATACATTAATTTTAAAAATTGAAATTAATTATTTAAACGCCACTATTATTAAGAAAGAAAAACGATGGTAACAATTTTTTAAGGAGGAATTTTGAATTAACAGATTGCAAAATATTGCTTTACTATATGTCCTTTAAAAAGAAACATTCCAACTTTTGTTTATTTTTTATTATATTAAATTTTTCGTGTAGCATATAAAAATGAAATATGAGAAAAAAGTATAAAAAATAAACAAAAAAAAAAAAAAGAAATTCAATGGAACGAAACCGAACATTGCATTAAATGATTATTCATAGCTGTTATTTCCACCTTATCTCCTCTTCATCTTCCTCTCTCTTTTTTTATCTTAATCTCCGCTCTCCCTTTCTCTTTCTCATCACATTTATCATTAATACATCAAAATAAAATGAAAATAAAAAGTAACGAAATTATAAATATAAAAATTTCAGATATAATGACAAATGTTAGAGGTTAAAGGAAAACAAAAATTTTAATATTCAGTTATTTTATCTCATTTTGTATAGCTTACATTATG